CGAAACATTTAATTTGGACTGGCATGAGATCTATCTTGAAAGTATGGCCATCTAAAGTTAAAGTACAACCTACGTATATGTAGTTAGTACTCTCCGTTTTCCTGTTATCCATTTCTAGCGTGAATGAATTGTCTAATGCACAGGGTTTTTGTTTAAGCAGGTGTGCAAATTTGTGACTTACAAAACTTTTCTCGGCTCCACTATCGAAAAGTATGCAAGCATATGAGTTATCGAGGAGGAACGTACCAGTAACTATCGTAGGATCAGCTACTGCTTCCTCGTGACCTAGGGCCATAACTCTTCCTACTTCTCCAGCCATCCCCGCTTTAGGGCAGTTCCTCTTGTAGTGGCCTACCTCGCCACAACCGTAGCAGGCTTGGCCCATACCGGCATTAGGAACCTGGGCGGCCTGAGCTGTTAGAGTTTGGCAGAAACGGGCTGTGTGCCCTTTCCTATTGCAGTTGGTGCATTGCATCTCCCTGCAAGGCCCGTGGTGGTGGAAGTTGCATTTGTTGCACTTCGGGAGAGACCCAACATAAGTTTTTGCTGGTAAGGGGTTCGCAGGGACAACGGGAGTCATTGTGGCAGCATTGATCGCCACAAGTTGTTGTTTATTGGAGGATCCTTGAGAAGCCCCTCTTTTCCTCTTATTCCACCCCTTCTTGTTATAGTCGGGGTTGGACTTTTGGGGTACGGGTGTAGGGATTGTTGGGTTCTTGTGTTTCCCGTGGTCTATGAGATACTGTGCCAGCTCCTTGGCGCTATCAAAAGTGACAGGCTTGGAGGCTAACACACTTGACTAGATCTGGGGCGATAGTCCCCAGATATACCTTTCTATCTTCTTGCTCTCGAGAGCAACCATATCAGGGCATAAGTTCGCCAGATCACATAACCTATTTGTGTAGGTCGTGATGTTGGATCCAACCATTTGCAGACCCCAGAACTCCTGCTCGAGTTTATGTACTTCGCCACGAGGGTAGTACTCTTTCATCAACATGTCTTTCAACTTTTCCCAGCTGATGGAATATGCCACCACCAGAGTCAGGTACTTAACATGGCCGTTCCACCATGTTAATGCTCTGTCAGAGAAGGTACAAGTTGCGAACTTGACCTTGTTGCCTTCTTGGCATCCGCAGATCTCGAAGACAGATTCCATCTTCTCGATCCACTGCCTTAACACCATAAAACCCCCAGTTCCATTGAAGCTGCAAGGTTTGGCGTTCGTGAAATCCTTGTAAGTGCATTCCCGAGGGTGTCCATGGCTTTCGCCGTGGTTCGAGGGAGGTGCACCTATTCCCGATCCACTAGAGACAGGGGCGTTGATTGCTGACACAGCAGCTGCAACTGCTGCTGTGAAAGCTGTCTGGAACATGTTGGCCTCGAAAGGATTAGGTGGTTGAACAGGTACAGGCGGTGGTGGAGGTGGTGGTATCGGTGTTTCATTGTTTGGGTTACGCCTTGTACTTCTGCGTGGTGGCATTTTTAACTATACGTTTAAAAGATGACGACATGGATAAGAATACATGATTTATGAATGTGTCTCATGGACTAACTCCCCATAGTCCAACAACAGAATGAACAGAATGACTAACTGAAAATGACAGCAGTTTGATAATAATTTCCATAAGATTAGATATCTGTCAATAATACTAGAATTACAGATGTATCAAGTTCGGGAAAAATGTCCTAGAAGTAGGCCATACATCAACCAAGATGGAAAATTTTGACAGAATCAAGACTAGATCAAGACCTAACAAGTCTAAGATTTATACAGATAGGAAATTAGACCAAAGTTTTACATAAACTAGGTTATATCCAAAAGATGAGTCGACGAGCTTCTATCGGCGACGAGAGTTGCTTGCATGAGTCCTCGATCCCGACAGTAGACGTTCAATGTCCCTTATACGCCTGTCCAACCTTGCTTGTTGAGCTCGAAGTTCTCTAACTTTAGCTCGGGTTCCAGCAAGTTCCCTATGCATATTTGCATTGCGGACCAGAGTCCTTTCATGAGCAGACTCTAGTTGGCGAATGTGGACAGTGTTAACACCAGAGTTGGCGTCAACTTCCAAAACTTGACTGATAGTTGCCTGAGCCATGATCGTGTTCCGAGAAATCCTACGCACCATGATTGGTAAGACTCTATCAGCAGAACCCCCTTCAGTGAGGTTGTAGAAACTTCGTTCTCCATTGTAGGGAATGGGCTGACCTTGTTCCTAACTCCATTCAGTCAAGTTAATGGCCCACAAGGGTGTGGGTCCTTGAAACACAGGGTGGGGGTTCAGGTTTGGGTTTTGAGCATTTGGGGGTAGGTTGTTGACTTCTGGCTCCGACTCAGAACTATCAGAAAAACCCTCAGCATGGTGATCATCCAAAGGGATTGGGTGATCATCTTCTGGTTCTGCCTCTAGCCAACCAGCATTACCTTGGTTTGGGAAGTACGGATCGCCATGGTGAAATCTAGCCATTTTAATCTACGCGAGAAAAGGGATATAAGAAATAGCTAAAATAGACGAACTAACTAAGATAATTTCAGTAAGATCAAATACCCATATGGTATTTCTTTGTGGTTGTGTTGGTAAGTTTTTAGACTTGTTGCCACATCACAACCATTCTTGGGCATATGCTAATCACTCCTCGGACCAGCATAGTTGATCAAGCTATGCCATTCCCAAGACTGACCACATATCCCCAGGCTTACTTGTGATATTCAACAATCGTAATACTTTTGTTCTTGTCATTGTGACACTGATTTTAGTATGAATGCAGGCACGTATACTTACTTAAATATTTTATTATTTATAACTATAACACTTAGACAGAGTGTTTTAATCCCATGTATTTATAGTTAGTATATCTTTTATGGGTTGATATACTATATTCACTATAAACAATGCTTTGATACCAATCTGTCACACCCCAAAACCACGAACGGCGGAAACATTCAGGGGTGGAGGACGTCATGTACAGTATCACAACAGTGTAATATAATAAACAAGCAACAACATCATCCATTGCATTATAAGTAAAGTTTTAATACATGTGTGTTCTTCATTGTAATAAGACACCAAAAATATACAATCAAAATAAAAGACGAGACTTGTCTGCTCCGTCTTCTCAAAACCTGGCCTCCGTACCTGTCTACTGATGACCTGAGAATACAAGTTATTTTGAAAGAGAGTATCAGCTTTAAAGTTGGTGAATTCATAAGTATTTATGTGTC